ATTTTTATTTATTAAAATATATCAAAGTATGATTACATTGTGCAGAAAGATGTTGCGATAGCGTGTTTGTATAGTCAAGCCTTGCCCCTCTCACGAATCACTAAAGTACCTAAAAAACATTTTTATTCAATCGGGTAAGCATGAGGCTTAGCGAGTTCTCCAAAATATCATATACCGCAATACATATACATGCATAAAAATATGGCCTGCCCAAACTAAATATTAGGCTCCGTCCAACTACCTAATAGGCCCCGCTCAACTACATCTTAAGTTCTATAAATAAAGGCACATAGAAGCTTTGCTATCAGCTCTACTCTACTAACTTCTATGTTTGGCATACATGAATATATATTATAACATATGGTATAGTGAGAACCTAGACAATTACTATGATAATTGACATATATTCCTCCGGGGTAGTGGGTAACACGTCTAACATGTATTAACCTAGAATACAGTAGCTTGTTAGTTCTTTTGACAATTTTATAATGAAAGCTAGATCCATTAGAAATCACAATGAATACTGAGAGTTCTATCAAATAAGGATCAGCTAGGCTGGATAGTTGGGGGGTGGGATCATTTTGACATATAGCCTTTCTAAAATCCAACAACCAAGCCAACGTAACAATTCTAAACACCTCTCCTGTAAGTAGATCAATCAACATTATAACTTGAATTACTGATAAATCTTATTTATAAATTCATAACAACGACTCTGAATATATAAATATAAGTTACACGTAAAGCATATAAAGTGTAGCCTAACTTACAAAGAGTTTCTAGCAAAAACCGTGTTGATACATAAAAGTGAACCTTTAGCAATCCGAAGCCAAACTAGAACTTAAGTCGAAGTGCATTCCGAGATGTGAAGGATTCTGAAGTCAAGCTTCTTTCGGGATGAAGACTTATTCCAGACATTCCAATTTTTTGGTGTTATTGAGTCCATACAAGCATTTAACGTTTCTTGTTGTTTGTATTGATTATAAAGTTCATGTGACAGAATTGAGTAAATCTTATGTGTTAGCTTTTCTGACTTATAAGATTTACATTCTCCATGCATGTCTTATATTTTGTCTTATTGTCTCTCATTTCCTATTTAAGGAGATGATTTATCCATGCACTATAACCCTTTTTTAAGCAATATTCTCCTTCACATCAAATACAAATATCTTGCAAGTCAAATCTCTTTCTCCATCATTCTCATTGTTCTTAAGTTAGCTTTACTTTGTTCATACTCATTTTATCTTACATAAATATTTGTAGAATACTTTGCTGATTTTCGTACTTCATGACAATATTGGTTTACCAGACTTAACCATACCAAAATATTAGCATTAGACATTGAACTTTAGTTAATACAAGGTTTGAGTTTTAAAACTTGTCCACACAATAAGTGTTGCACTTTCAATTGGCATCAAAGATTGAGTGGTTGACCTATGAATCCATAAGAACATATTATAATTGATCTGAGATTACCTTGGTATCTCAATAATTTATGTGTTTAAGATAAAATTTCTTTTATATATTGCTTCTACTCCATTAATTTAACTTCAATGATTGGTCCTAATCAAATTCAACAAATGTATTCAATGCAAATAACAAATAGCATGGGAAGCCCAACACGTTCCCCATTGCTAGTTGTTGAAGAGTATGATCACTAGAACATTAGAATTGAAACATTTTTACTTGGTAAGCAAAAAAGTGAAGAGATATTGAGATCTATGAAAGAATGTCCTCATGTTCTTGTAAGACTAATGGTTACAGATGATACTGCTACACTCATGGATCAAGAAGAACAACGACCAACACCTCTTACTACTTTAGACAACAAAAAGCTTCATGCAAACCATATTGCATTCTCAAAGATGGTGTTTGGTGTTCCTCCTTCTCTCTTTGAGCACATTAAGTTGTGTAGATCTGCCAAAGAGATTTGAGACACTCTTCAAGGATTGTTCGAAGGGTTAGGGAAGAACCTCCCAACCCAGCCAATGATAGAATTGGCAGAAGCTGTCATAGTCCAGCTCTCCTAGATGAAAGTATCCTGAAAAATCCATCTTAGTGAGGGAAGAAAGGGCAACATCCACATCTTCAGCTTCTCTTGAGACACGGTTAGGGTCCAGGGCGTTAGATTCACCAGAAATTGTAGGACGACGGGCTAACTATTTCCCTTTTTCCAGTCCAAGGGCCTCGCATGCCTTTTGTATACCATGGATCCCATTGGAAAATTCCTCACTTTCAATAACTTTATCGATTAGTCAGACGATGCCCTTTTGCAACACCCATTGCAAATTACCACAGGCAACAACACCGTCAACCCGGGCGAGGGCCAGTTGTCGTTGGCACTTGGCCAACTCACCCACCAGAAAAACCTTCTATCGAGCTAAAGACCTCACTTGATTTTCAATTTGCTCTTCTTGTCCTTCCAAAGTGGCCACATGATCTTCCAAAGCGGCCTTCTCACAGGCCACAATGTAATTTTGCTTGGATAGCACTCGACGTTCTGCCTCTGAATCATGGACTTCCCCCCTTAAGCTAGCAACAACATCTTGAAAAAATTTCAATTGAGCTTTATTTATGCCAAAATGACAAACCTAGCCAGCGGCGACAACTATAAGCGTAGAAGATTAAGCAGTGGTGTAGCGAAACTCGCCGGCCATGCGTGCGTGTAACATACCAATTTTCAAGACCAAAAACTTCATTTTTGATATAACGATTTAGAAAAATTAACATTTATAAGAAACATCATCGAGCCACATCGTTTCATAAAAACATAATCACATGTCTCAAAACCATATCATAAAAATAGTAACAATATCAGAGTACAATCCGAAGAATATCATAATGTTGAAATCTTGTGTGTATGATGCGTTGCTATCGTGCCAACTCCTTCCCCTTCAAATGAAGAGGTACCTGAAAATAAAACTAAAAATTGTAAGCACAAATCTTAGTGAGTTCCCCCATCATACCACATAACTAACATACTGTCGGATAATTCTAAGGTACCCGACCTACACTGTCTGTCAATTTTGGGGAGCCGACCTGCCATGTCTTGCAATTCTAGGGTGCCAACCTACGTTGTTTGAAAATTTTGGGATGCCGATCTACCCATCGGTTTAAATCAACCGGCTACGGGGACTATTTCACCCCTACTACTACCACATAATAACATAGCATAAACATATTGTCGAGCATATCTAGGGTGCCCGACCTACCCTTCGGTCCTTACGACTGTAACACAACGACTATTCCCCTACTACCTAATATAACATACCATCATATCAGGCTAGCACACAATCATAACAGAGAACATCATACAAGATAATTATCATGAAGACAATTATCTATACTATAACTCTTAATAGTGGGCCGGCCTTCGCGCCATAGACCCACTTATACTAGAAGGTAACTCACCTCAATGTCATGAAGCGTCTGAATTGTCATCGGTGCTGGGATCAACTCCTCCAAACTCTTACACATAATAACCTTCCTTAATTACCATTTCATACTCTTAAACCTTTCAATGGTTAACTCAGGTCAAAGTCAAAATCAAGGTCAACACCCTGGTGAAAGTCAACTTTTGGTCAAAATCAACATCTGGTTGACTCAAGTCGCCGAGTTGGTCCACCAACTCGTCGAGTTCCATAACCCATAAAATCTTGGAACTTTGATCCTTCTCATCGAGTCTTCCAAGAACTCGTCGAGTTCTCGTGCATATAGAATCGGGACCTTTTGCTGATGATTCACCGAGTTCATCCTTGAACTCGTATGGTCCTGGCTCCTATAAGCTGAAAGGTTTAGTCCTTGACTCGCCGAGTTCTTCCTTGAAATCATCGAGTTCTTCTTAATATAGTTGGGACATTGCCTTGAAATCGCCGAGTTTGTTCTTGAATTCACCGAGTTCCATGATCTTCAAGTCCATAAATGAGCCCAACTTGTTAAGTCCTCTTCTAAATTCTACAAGTTGCTCAATATCAGAAAATCTTGGGGAAGCTGCGACCTAACTAGCCGAGTCGTATGAGCGACTCGTCACGTCCCTCAATGGCCAAATCAATACAACCAATTTCAGTCAGGCTTAACACATCTAAAACATAGATCTGACCTCCTAGTGTCCATATTACATGTAAAGTTACAAACCTTACTTGCATTCAAGGTGTTATGAGCTAAAAACACCATTTCCATATCTAAAATGAAGTCTAGGCCAAAAGGAATGGTTAAAGAAAATTAAAATCATGAACTTTATGGCCATAACGGCTTAAAGGGATCTGGATCTGAAGTCACAACTTCAGATCACACTCCATACTCAAAAAGGTTCACAAAATTGCTTAAAGATGACCCTAAACTCAAACATGGAGAGATCTAGCAATAGGAAAGTCAAGGAAGCAACTTTATACCTTTAAGGGACTGGAAATGTAGCTTGAACCTTAGATCTACTGCTTCCTTGAACCTTCTAGCTCCTTCTTCTTCTTCCTCTAGCTTCACATCACACAAACACTCTCACAAATGACTCACACACTCAACAATGGTCAAGGGACACAAGTTATGGCGTTTTGGACTAAGGGCGACGATGGGGGTTGCATCGGAGGCGAGTTAGTGCGTTTAAATAGGGTGCAAACCCTAAAATTTAGGATTTCACCCAGATAGGTCTACTAGTCGAGTCGGGGCTTCCGACTAGGTGAGTAGGCTCTTCCATCCGTGTCCAAAATCCGTCCCTACTTGATGAGGTGAGCCTCCAAATCGTCGAGTCCCAGTATAAGATTCAAATATTCTTTATTTAAGATACGTAACAAGAATAGGGGTTACAATGCACCTGATTCAGTTGCAAGCAACTTCATTGTGGCCAGGGGATGGGTGTAGTTACTCCACTCCTGAGCGGTGATGTGTTCCGAAAGTAATGAGTCTTTTGTAATTACCCAACCTGGGACTTAAGCCTCGGAAACCAAGGGATGGGACGCAAGCCTCATTTTGTCAACCATGTATGGTATGTTCGATGGGGAAAAATCTCATGACACGCCCAATGCACCTCCAAGCACAGAATAGGCATCAGGATCAACTGTGAGTGAGTCAACAAATGGAGAAGGTGATGCCTTTGAAGAACTGGGCATCACTGCTCTCTCTTTCTGTCCGAGCGTAGAAAACCCATCGTCAAGAACATCTCCAATACCACCAAGAAGCTTGGGCACGTTCACTGTGTTTCACATCTTTCAAGGATGGAGGCCTATGTCATCAGATTTGGTGTCTTCGTCCGACAACAGAACCACGTGAACACTTCATTTTCTCTGGATAGGAGTAGTACTTTTTCCTGCTTGACCCATCATAGGAATACTGGCAGATGAGGAGGCCGGAGAATGGGTTGTGAAAATATCCCCAACAACCAGTTGAGAAGACGAGGAAGGTTCGCTAGAACCAACATTTACCCTTCTGCTGAGAGTAATCCATCAAGCTCCCATATACATTTTATGATACGGGAGGGGAAGAGTCTCCACAAGGTCAATCTCCTGATGACAAAGCTTACCCCAATCATGGCCACGCAGGTCCATCTCCAAGGAAATATCGGCTTCGGCACTTGCAAACACAAACACCACGCATGAGAACTAACAGACCAATAAAATACTCTATTCTTATTTTTGTAAAAAAAAAGGGGGGGGGGAGGAGATGACCAAATACCACATCTCACGACGAATAATTGTGCCATCTTCCCATGCGCTCTCCAGGCAGCACTAATGCAGGCTGCAGCAAGGATGAAATCTTTCCAGTTCTCCCCGATGACTGTAATGTTTTCCAGTTGTTTGCCAAGAACTAACTTATCCCCAAATAGCTTGGGAAGACGGTCGGGAAACCATTAGTTCTTACGAAACCTGTGCCCCACAAGGTTTAGGTTGACCTAGAGCCATTGTATCTGCCAATTTTTCTTTGGAGTATTCTACTCAGAGATCAACTGATGAATGCCTTGCCATTTTACCAGCGTGCAAACACTAGATTTTGAATTTTCACAAAAGAAGTAACTGAGAAACCAATAACTAGGTATACAAACCAGAGATCAACAGATCAAATCGAAGCCCATGATCTTATTGACGACACTTGAGGTTAATTCGTCAACAGAAAAGCCATAGTGGTGCACATACATATCAAGGAAGTCAGACATTGGAAGGCATAACCCCACTTCTAATAGAGTATCAGGAACCCCCAATTTCCCTTGAGGGAAGTCATAGATCGATGATCCATTTGTTGAAATCATCACGCAATGCTCCGACAAGAAACCAAATTGTTCTTGGAGTAGTCAATAATTCCTCTACGGTAGGGACTCTTCCGTAACGATCCAACGTTAAGAACAGACAAGTGATGATAAAAAAAATCAGAAAATTCATGAGTTGCTACAATGAAAGAAAGGAAAGAAGGTAAAGGTGAAAGGTCTTGAGTAAACAGGAGATTTTAAAGGAAAAACTGGCATCACAAACTATCTCGTGATGGACTTGACACACATCAACGATGCTGTCTAATGTCTATCGAATGCCAGAGATAATCTTAGATATACATATGTTGTAATATAGGCTTGAACGGCGAAGCTAACAAGCCAACGAATATACCTACTAGCCTAAGGGACTTGTTAATGTATCCCTCAGTAAAAACAATAAAGACAAAAAGTCAGACTAGCTTTTAGGTCACATTTTGTTGGTTTAGGCTAGGCATCAATCTATATAGGTCTTGATAGGGTTTGGTCATGTAATGGGTGTTGTGTGTGTTTGTGGTTGTGAGGGTGTTCACGGTAGTGAACCTGTGTATGGATGTGAACATGTTTGCGGTTGGTTGGTCCCTATAAATAGTGTCAGATGTGTCAGATGAACAACAGTCGTATGTATGTGTTTCCAAGTGTATCAGACGTTTACAGCCCTAAGAGAACATATGCATTGTTGGAAGTTCTTTGCTTCTACTCCTTCTTTGCTCATTGATTACTAGTTGTTTGTGTGTTTTATCACTGGTTGGATCCTATTTTATAGACTTACAATTGGTATTTGAGCAATTCCGGTGTCAAACTCATTCAAGTGGTGTTTACGGTTGGAGATATTCTTCATTTTCGTGTTTGTTCAAGTGGTTGCTGGGTTTTTTGCATTAGATCATGAAGTTCAAGGCCAAAGGAATCGAAATCAGCTCACAATAATCTGTTTTCATCGTAAAATAGGTGTTTACGGTTTTCATCTGTTGAATCATTTACAACCGTGAACTCTTTATATGGTCATGAACCACTCATTGGTAGTGAACCATTCATTAACCGTTAACCTTTGGACCGTGAATCACTCATTGAACATGAACTGTTAATTGACCGTGAACTGTGAAATAACCGTGAATCACTTCATGTGTATGACCGAGAACCCTTTACGATCGTGAACTCTCGTGGTTATAATACCTCATCGCTTATGATTGCTTTTCCTTACAAGCCTTGTTTTTCAGTCAATTAAGAAGATCATAGAAATTTAAAAAAAAATGGCATCAAAAACTTTAACAACTCAATAGGAATTGGGCTCGATTATGGGAACCACTACCAGAATCCCACGTCTTTTGTCTGTAGAAAGATTCCTGGAATGGAAATACCGAATGGAAAAGTATATCAAGATGAAGGACTTCAAGATTTGGCGTAATATTCTAAACGGTCCTGTCAGAACCACTACCACTCTGGAGAATGAAACAATTGTTGACAATGACATTGCAAACTATACTGGTGAAGACTTTGAAAAGATAGAGGAACAAGAGAAGGCTCTTGCTAGATTATGATGGCTTTATCTCCAGAGATTGCACAGAGATTCCATGAGTATGATTCACCAACGAATCTATGGGAAGCATTGATCGAAGTGTATGAAGGGAACAAAGATATAAAGCAAAGTCATCAAGACATGCTAAGACAAAAGTTCAATATGTTCAATCATGTTCTGGGCAAAACTTTGGAAACTCAACTACAACAATTTGGCACTCTCACCACTGAGATGAGTTCAGGCGGGATCTCAGTGCCAAAATCAGAAATCAACAAGAAGCTGCTCAACTCTCTTCCAAAATCATGGGATATAAATGTCTCAGTCATCAAGAAAACTAAAGATCTCAATAGACTTAGTCTTGCAGAAATGTTAGCAATTATCAAAGCATGTGATCTTGATGACAAGCATAGAGAAATCAACCATGTGAATTCCTATTCTACTACAAACCTAGGGATCTCCTCCAATAATGCTTTTTCATACTTTACCACACCTGCTCCACGAAATCAAGCCTTTTTTGTTCCACAAACACCATCTCAGCTTGTTCCTCCATCAGTGATTTATCCATATGCAACCTTCTCCTCAAAAGCCCCTGCTGCTACCTCTGCTCCAAAGGAAGCTGAAGAGAACATGGATTTAGCTTCTAGGTTGGTGAACTATTATAATGCCTTTATGGCTGGTGAATTGCCACCACAAATTTCTTTTGCTGACATAGATCAAATCTATCGAGAGGACGTGGAGGAGATGGACATCACTTGACTGTCCTAAACCTGATCGAAGAGTGAATGCTGAGAAGAAAGTAGGTTTTAACAAGGGAAAGCTGCAATGCTTTAACTGTCACGAGCCTGGTCATTTTTCTCATGACTGTCCTAAACCTGATTGAAGAGTGAACAATGAAAGGACGATAGTGCGACTGTGAAACAACATGGGAGCTGCTACCAACAATGAAACTGCATATCTAGTGGTGGTAGCTCATTCATTTGACTGAGAGGATCAAATTTAGGCCCTAAACATTTCTGGACATGAAAATGTTCACTTGGCCCATATTAGTGACATCCCTGAGGAGAAAGCTGAAGATGATCTAGAGGCAGAGATGATGGAATTACAATTTGCTTTCATGGTATCCAATTCTCCTGAACCCAAAAAGAAAGAGGTCAGTCAAAATTCCTGTTCTCAAACTTGTATTGATTCTATCAAATTCTTGTGTGAACAGATTGAATTACTACGTAGAGAGGACGAGGAACGGAAATACGAGGGGTATAACCTTAGGAAAGGCCAAAAATCATTAAAAGAACAATTAAAGGCCAAGACTAAGGACTTAAGAAAATTACAAGCAGAGTACAGTAATAAGTGTGAGAACTATAATTTCATTAAGAAACAACTTGCCACAATGAATGAGGAACTCGATACAATAAAAATTCGTTTTGAAAATGATGATTTTCACTTTAAAAAGTTTGATGTGTCCAGTGAAATAGTTGAGACCATGATTGAAAAACAACTGAGACAGAAAGATAAGAAACAAGTAGGTCTAGGGTATGAGTGTGTCCCTCTTCCTTTTAATCACAATTACACTGCTACACCTATGACTCACGAAGAGATAGATAGAGCATAATTTCTTGAATATGGCAAAACAGTTGTACTCGTGACAGAAAGAAGTGCTAGACAAAAAGATACTAGCGTTTCCACTTCCTATGAAGATCCATCTTTAAGTCAAGGCAAGCATGCAACAAAGAAGAGTGTCTGATAATAATAATATGTCTGATGTTTCTAGTTCAAACAATGTTTCTTTTGTATCTAAAACTGATGTTTTGATTTGTGATGACTATGTGTTAAAGTTTGTTGATCCAATTATTTTTGTTAAAAGTGGTGATGTATTTTCTAAATTTGATGTTTCTTTCACAAGCACATCCACTTAACCCACATCTATCACACCATATGAGTCTTGCACATGCACGTGTGGGAAGAGTAAGGGAGTAAATAAGAATAATAAACTATAGAAAAGAGGTACCAGTTTTCGTGTTAAGAAACAAACTTGTTTTAACTGTGGAACTGTTGGACCTATTGCTCGCAATTATCCAAATTAGGCATTTGTTCCTTTTCATGTGCACACAAGAGAGAACAAGTCGTGAGGAAGATCTCTCGTGAGAAAATTGTTGATACATCGTTGCCGTCATGATGATTGGAATGTTAATACTGACAAGAAATGGGTTGAGCTTAAAAAGGATAAACATGTTTTTCATAAAAATTCAACATGTACTTTCACGAAACCGAACGTGGCTAAACCAAGGTCGGGTTCGTCAAGGTCTTCATGTGGGTCTTCGTCTAATATTAGATGAAAACCCAAATGATCAAAACAAAAGAAAACTATTTCAAAATCACCTGTCAATTTTTCTAAACCTAAATACCAATGGGTGCCCAAGAATTTAAATTTCCAATCATCACAATCTTCTGCTTGTGCATCTGGTGATAATTCAAAATCAAAAAGTGAAAAACGAAAATTTTGTTGCCAAAAAGGGAAAATCCAGTGTGTCAATGACTTGGGCTCAGAAATATAACTAATCTCTCACACATCGTGCGAGAACAACAACAAAGGAATTTTGTCAGACCCTGGTATGTCAACAATGGTTGTTCCAGGCACATGACAGGAGACATATCCCAGCTACATGACATTCTAAATTTCAATAGGGGTTATGATTCCTTCAAGGGAGGAGAAGGCGGAAAGATCACACAAAGAGGATCCGCTTGGAGTGCTTAGTTTTGAGAACGTTAATTACGCTCTCGAGTTGCAACATAGCCTATTAAGTGTCTCTCAAATCTGCGACAAGGGCTACACAACTCACTTCATCGATAAAGAATGCCTTATTTTAAGGCCTGGAATCATTATTCCCGAAGATTGGATCTTAATGAAATCAATGCATGATGGAAATTCTTGCATCATTGACATGAATCACAATATCCCAAAGCAAGTCACATGTCTCTTCTCTAAAGTCTCTGAGCATAATACCATGCTTTGGCACCGTCGACTCAGTCATGCAAATGCCAAGAACCTGAATCATCTTGCCAAGAATGAGATAGTGTGCGGCCTACCTATCAAAGACTTCATTACTTTTGAAAAATGTTTGGCATGTGCACAAGGAAAACATCATCGCACTACCCATTTCCCAAAGGAATTAAACTCAATCAACAAGGTTCTCCAATTGTTGCACATGGATTTATTTGGTCCAGTCAACGTTCTTAGCAGCAACAAAAACTTCTATTGCTTGGCTGTGATAGATGACTACTCAAGGTTCACTTGTGGGTTTTCTTCCTATCCAACAAGAGCGGAATTGATGATTTGATCAAGAAGTCCGTGGTGATGATTGAGAATCAAACCAACGAGAAAGTGATGGCGCTCAGAACGGATAATGGTAGAGAATTCAAGAACGCTATTCTCGATCACTTTTGCGCAGAAAAAGGGATTGTGCATCTATACAGTGTCGTTTGGTCACCTCAA